GCTGTGTTTATCCAGCCCTGCACCTTGTTGTCTCGGATTCTCCAGCATCTGCAGTTCCTACTATCTCTTAATGAGTTGGAAGCTGTTCATAGAAGGTTTTCTAAGCCAATACCTGGATTGACCAGATTGCCTTATGGGAGAAAAGCTATGCTCTGGGATAAAGAAAAATCAGAAATGACTTGATTAAAACATATAAGACCCTGCAGGGATCTGACCAGGTTGATGTCAAGAAGATGTTTCATTTTGTGGTAGAATCTTGAACAAGGGGTCATAGTTTAAGAGTAAGAGGTTGTACACTTAAAACAGACATGAAGAAACTTTTTTTTTCCCCTTCTGAGGGTTCAGTGTCTTTGGAATAACCTTCCTCAAAAGGCAATGGTTACAGGATCTTCAAGTGTTTTTAATACAGAGCAAGATATATACTTCATTTTTCATTCCTAATGTAATCATCAGTGGTATGCAAGAATGTAGAGTTTAAAATCAGGTCAGTCATAATCTTACTGAATGGCTGAGCAGCCTCCAAAGGGCTGACTTGCCTCCTTTTGTTCCTTGTTTGCATGAGATTAGGTCAAGTCAAAACTTTTCCAAATTGAGTTTGACGTGTTTTTGCTAGGCAAGGGTATAGGAAAAAAGCCACTTCTACAATCTAAGGACATGCCAAGGCACTTTATACTTCAGAAGTACTTTATTAATTATAATCACTGTTGTAGGAAGTGGGTTGTGAAGCCAGGATAAATGGATCGCTTTAAGATTCAAATAAGCCGTGATTTAATTGAATGACAGAATGGGCTTATGGGAATGAATTGCTTCCTACTGCTCCCATGTTATGAACTGGGCTCTGGGTGACATTATGTTTGTTACATTTTGCCTTTCCTGAATTTGGAATGGCATTTTTACCATGTCTCCAAATTAGTACAACTGAAAGACAAACGAGAACTCCAGCATGGGTTAGGATAGAGAGCAGACCACTTGAATGATTTCCAAAGAGCACTAGAAAGCCTTAAAATAAATGGTCACAGCACTGTTTTTGATCGCATTTGTTTTGGTGAAAAATGTATGGCTTTAAAAAAAAACTGTAATGTTTAGAAGTTCTATATAATTAAAACTGTTTTTTGTTCTTTTCCCTCTTCAGTTCCTCCTAAGTTGGCACACATAATTAAGCCACCTGTGGTGCTGCACAACAGTTCTGTGATGCTGACTTGTCCAATAAGTTTTTTCAAGCCACGCCCTCTAAAGATCACATGGTATAAAAATGAGCGTGGAAAGAAAATCCCTTTGCTGGTTTTAGACAATGCAAATGAAAGAAATATATATCCAGAGAAATATTCCCATTATATGAGTGGATTTAATTATTCTGACCGCACTTTCAGTGTCTACAGCACAATACGTTTTAATGTAACAATCCAAGAAGAAGATAAAAGTCAGTACTTCTGTGCAGTTGAACACATTGGCTTGAGCAATCCAGTAGAGGAACAGGTTCAACTGAATGTGAAAGGTAACACATTAAACACTTCTTTCTTTAAAGACAAAATTTCAGTCTCTCTTAAAGATGATCTCACATTTTCCTCTTTCTCTCAGGGTCATGAGCTGGTGGAATTCTCTTCCACAGTGGAGGCAAGGTCCTTGAATATTTCTATGGCAAAGTTACACAGATTCTTGACCGACAAGGGAGTCAAAAGGGTATGGGAATGTGGGGAAAGCAGAGTTGAGGTTACAACAGATTAGCAATGATCTTAAGAAATGACAGAGCAGATTCTAGGGGCTGATTGGTATACTGTGGCTCCTAATTCATGTTTCTTTGTATCGATGTGAAGAATTTCAATACTAGAAAACAGCACAAATTTCCATTCTAGGATTAAGCACTTCCAAATTTTCAGTTGAGAGTTTGTGACCAACTATTGTAATCTGGTAATTTCTTAAATTAGTTATCTGTCATGTGCCCTCTGGATGAAATTATTCAGTGTGTCAGCAGTTTTGTACTTTAGATCCCAGATCACTGAAAGCTGTATTGAGAGAACTCCAAGTTTGCTCGTGTAGGATGCATGTTAGCCATTAAAATGGGTTACATTAATCCTAACGTTTTAAATGTTTTAAAATCTAGTTACCAAAGATGAAAGAATAATATGTCGAGTCATGGAGCCACAATTTGATTAAGAAGTACTCTACCTAGCCATCACTGAAAATGAGAGTTCTTCATAACAGGCAATATATATGTGAATGTATGTATGAGGTGATGTTCTAACGTTTTATATTTTCCAGCTTTTCCTTCTCTTGATGCCATCTTAAGTGATCCTGTGAACCCTGTAATTGGAAAAATGTTGACTCTGACCTGCAGAGTGCATTCATTTTATCCTGAAAGTATTACTGTCCATTGGTTGAAAGATGATGTTATAGTGGAATCAAAAACACCTAAAACTGATCTAAATTCCAAGCTTGGGTTGCACGAATTTACCAGTTCATTTACAATTACTCCAACCTTATCAGACCTACAGAGTAAATATAAATGCCAGGTTGATCACGAGAGCCTTATGTATCCAAGATTTGCAGAATATATTCCTGAAAATTTAGGTAAGTTTATTCTTATTTAAAAGCCTTTCTGCAATATAAAAACGTTTGTTTTATTTACAAGTCAACCATATTGGTTTCAGATTTCTTATAAAGTATTCACTGAAATAAATATTGTTTCCTCGGCCAGGACGCTTGAATTTAAGAGTCAGTTGGCTGTTTTTATGAGCAGAACAGTGTCACTGGAATTTAGATGCATTTTAATGATACAGAATGGTTAGGTCACTTTGTAACCACCCCAAATAGGTTTGTAACATAATTTCACTTTTTTTTAAGTTATTAAGAGAGAATTCCAGCTAAGACACGAGTTATACTGATTTGCCATATTACTCACTCTATGGTAAAATTAGATCACTTTCATCAAAATGAAATAACCTTTTAATATTAGTGGTGTATTTTTGTGACATTATGTTCTCTAGATCACTTGTTTATAAATTTTAAACATTGAAAAGCTGCATGTAAAATATTGCAGCCAAAGAGGAAGGGGTGAAAGGACAAAATTGTGTGCAAGAAAGTTTAGTTACATTGTTATACTGGTCATATTAAAGATAGATCTAGCATCACAGAAATGGCAGGGATGAGCGCACTACCTTATTTCTCAAAAACATCAATGAGGTTGTAGGACCACTTGCAGCACAATGAATGCACAGGTTCAAGAAGGCAGCTCGCCACTACTTTCTTGGGCAATTGAGAGAGGGACAATAAATGCTGGCACAGCCAGTGATGCCAGTGTCTCATTAAAAGTGATGTTCAAGCAATAATGTTGTATTTTATCATTTCAATGCTACGTTATTACAGAAAAGCAATTTTTTTTGCTCTCTGATGACATTTCTAAATGTATAAGTACTAAAATTACTTTATTGTATCTACAGCCATTGTTTGCAATTAGGTAAAACACAACTGGCATTTTTGAATAGCTTGCAAATGCAGTGTTAGGGGTTAGTGTCATCCAGTTTCAGGTGATGTGCCAATATCCTGGTGACAGTTCTTAGGATGATTGAGCTTCTTACAACGTTGTTTCTTTATAAGCTGAGTTATTCTGGTGCTAAAATGCAACTTTTAATTGGAAAGGAAATATTTTTTGTGAGGTTTTGTCATAATAAACTAGCCAAGAGAATTGAGTTAACATAAAATACTAAGTTTTTTTTGCATATAAATGTAATAATTAGTATTAGTAGCCCACATATTTGTTGCTTTCCAATTACTAAATTGAATAAATTTAAAATAGTTTGTTACATAATTTTTGGTACTGATGTCTGAAATGAAAACCAGAAAAATGTATTTCTTAATGTTTCTCTTGATTTTAGTATCCCATCCTAAAGTATCTGAAATTACATGCAACCCTGACATCCCTGAAGTAGAGAAAGAGTTGACTTTAACCTGTACTATAAGTGACTATTATCCAGACGATATTCAAGTTGAATGGTTCAGAAATGAGGTGAGAATTAACACTCCTGTAAGACATGAAAAAATTGAGGAACAATCATCCTGTAAAGATGGTCTGCACAGCAAAGTCACCATGGTAACTTTAACACCGAGTACAGATGATCATCAAGCTGAATATAGAGTCGAAGTTTGCCATTCAAAATCTTCAACCAAACCAATTAAGAAATACTTCCAGTTAACCCTTAAAGGTGAGTTAAAAGTATTCTGTTTGATTAAATGAAATAAAACTATAAGACATAGGAGTAGAAGTAGGCCATTCACCCTATTGAGTCCGTTCTACCATTGCATCAGATCGATGTGATAATCCTCAAATCCACATTCCTGCCTTTGCCCCATAATCCTTAATTCCTTGCTGATTAAAAATCTGCCTAACTCAGCCTTGAATATACTTTATGACCAAGACTCAACAGCCCTCTCTGGTAAAGAATTCCACAGAATCGCTACCCTCGGAAGAAATTGATGTTTAAAGATTATGCTCTTTTGTGCTGCACTGTCCCACGAGGTGAAATAGGGCAGATGCCAAAGGCTATCAAGTCCCATATGATTCTTCAATGTTTCAATAAGATCGTCTCTCATTCTCCTATATTTTAACAATCGCAGGTCCGATTTATTCAATCTCTTCTCTTAAGATAGTACCCTCCATACTTGGTATCAGCCCAATGAACCTTTTCTGGATTGTCTCTAATGCAAGTACATCTTTCTTTAGATAAGAAGCACAAAACTGTTCACAGTATCGCAGCAGTGGTCTGACTCATGCTGTGTATAGGTTTAGCAAAATTTTCACACTCCATTCCCTTTGAAATGAAGGCAGACATTCAATTTGCTTTCTCTATTACCCCCAAACTTGGATGCTAACTTTTTGTGATTCATGGACAAGGACTCGCAAAACCCTCTGTTCTGTAGCTTTCTGCAGTCTTTCTCCATTAAAATAATATTCAGTACCTCTATTCCTCCTGCCTAACCTCTTATTTCCACATATTATATTCCAGCTACCAATTTGCTTAACTTGTCTATATTCCTCTGCAGACTCTGTTTTCCTCACCATTTGCCTTCCGACCAATTTTGTGTGATCTGCCAGCTTGGCTGTAGTATAAACATTTACCTCATCCAAGTCATTAATATATATTTTAAATAATTGTGGCCTCAGCACTTATCCCTGTGGCACACCACTAGTTAGAGTTTACCATTCTGAAAATGTCCTCTTATCCAACACTGTCTTCTGTTAGATGGTCAATCCTTTGTCCATACTAATATGCTACTTCTAAAATCATGGGCTCTTATTCAGTAGATGTGGTACCTTATCAAATGCCTTCTGAAAGTAAAAATATATTACACCCACTGCTTCCGTTTTTTTTTTCCTCTCCTGCTTGTTTCTCATCCAATAATTATTCTAAATTTTGTCAGACATGATTTTCCCCATCAGGAAACTGTGTGGACTCTGCTTGATCATATTATGTATTTTAAATGTTTTGCTATCACATCCTTTATAATAAATGTTTATAATACGTGTTCCCAATAACAGATGTCAAGCTAGCTGTCTCCTTCCCTTTCTAAACAAAGGTGTTTTCTAATCCTCTGGGACTTATGAAAAGGTTTAATTGAATTGTACTTGAAATGCTAAAACATTTTAATTGTACCATGATATATTTCTGTCCCCTTCTTTGTTCTGAATAAGAATAACTGAATTTGTCACAGATAATTGTTTTTAATTAATGTTATTGTGAAGTTGGTGACATGGCGCCTCACAGCACCAGGGATCTAGGTTTGATTCCACCGTTGGGGGACTGTGCAAACTGCACACTGATGTTCTTCCCATATCTGTGTGGGTTTCCTCCCACAGAGATGTGCAGTTTAGGTGGATTGGCCATGCTAAATTGCCCGTAAGTGTCCAGTGATGTGCAGCTTTGTGGATTAGCCATGGAAAATGCAGGGTTACAGAGATAGGGTAGGGGTGTAGGTCTGAGTGGGCTGCTCTTCAGAGGGTAGGTGTGGATTCAATGGACCGAATAGCCATTTCCACATTGTAGGGATTCTGTGATTCTGAGTATCCTAATCATGGAACAGTTAGTCAATGTCAGTAACTTTTTCTGCTTCACTTTTGGCTTGTGAAGGTGAGCAAAGTATGTATGAACAAGGAAAGGTTTGCTTACTTCTGACTCAAAAGTTTAATGTCTAATATGAAGGGGAAATCTAACCATGACCTCTTATAATGCAATGACATTGTCATCATTGCCATCAGGGATGCCAAGAGACAATACCAGACTAACCGTATGAACATATGTCAACTGTGGGCAGTGCTTATATGATATGATATAACAGGTTACAAAGCGAAGCCAAGTAGAATTGCTGACAACAGTGCATCCCTCCCTGATGAGCTCAACGCATTCTATGCTCATTTTGAACAGAGGCTCAGTGAAATGATGTCACCTGTCCCAACAGCTTCAGGTGCACGTGTAACCATAGTCACCGCCTCAGGCGTCAGATCAGCCTTCTTGAGGATGAACCCACAGAAAGGGACTGACTGGGATAGATCCCGTGCAGACCAGCTGGTGAGAGTATTTGCAGATACCTTTAACCTCTCCTTACTGTGATACAAGGTTCGCACTTGTTTCAAGAAGACCACTATCATCCCGGTGCTACAGAAAATTCCGGCAGCGTGCCTTAATGACCACTGCCCAGTGGCTTTGACAGCCATCATTATGAAGTGCTTCGAGAGGTCAGTAACGACATACATCAACTCCCAGACCACCTTGATCTGACACAAATTGCCTACTGTCACAGTAGGTCCACAGCAGACACCATCTCCCTGACCCTACGCTCTATCCCTGGAACATCTGGATAACAAGGACACCTATGTCAGACTACTATTTATTGACTTTAGCCGTGTTTTCAACACCATAATTCCAACTAAACTCATTTCAAAACACTGAGATCTAGAACACTGCAACTCCTCTGCAGTTGGATCCTCGACTTCCTGACCTACAGTCTACAATCAGTAAGTATAGGCAATAACATCTCCTCCACGATAACCCTCAACACCAGTGCCCCACAAGGCTGCAAACTCAGCCCCTTACTATACTCCTTATACATTCATGACTGTGGCCAAATTCTGCTCTAACGCCACTTACAAATTTGCTGATGACACCGCCGTAGTGAGTCAGATCTCAAATGACGAGACAGAGTACAGAAAGGAGACACACAACTTAGTGGCATGGTGTAAAGAAAACAGTCTCTCCCCCGATGTCAACAAAATGAAGGAGCACCAACAAACTGTCCTGGTCCATCCATGTCGACGCTACAGTCAAGAAAGCGTACCAATGCCTTTACTTCCTCAGAAGGCTAAGGAAGTTCGGCATGTCCACAGTTACTCTTACCCATTTTTATAGATGCGCCATAGAAAGCATCCTATCCAATGCATTACAGCTTGGTATGGCAGCTACTGTTCCCAAGACTGCAAGAAATTAGAGAGTTGTGAACACTAGCTAATCCATCAGGAAAACCAGCCTTCCTTCCATTGACTCCACCTACACATACTGCTGCCCTGGGAAAGCAGCCAATGTAATCAAACACCCCTCCCATTCTGGTTATATTCTCTTTCACCCTCTTCCATTGGGCAGAACATACAAAAGTTTGAAAACACATACCGACAGATTTAAGAACAGCTTCTTCCCCGTTGTTATTAGATTTATGAATGGACTTCTCGTATATTAGAGTTGATCTTTCTCTGCACCTTCTCTGTAGCTGTAATACTATATTTTGCATTCTGTTCTATTGCACTGGTAAATTTATTTAAGGTATGATTTGTTTGGTTAGCATGTACAACAATACTTTTCACTGAGTCTTGGTACTTGTGACAATAATAAATCAAATCAAATCAAATCATTGAATCCTCACCATAAATATCAGCGAATGACCAGCAGCCAGAAGCTCTACAGGATCAGCCACGTAAATGTCATAGCCAATAAGCACATCAGAGGGTGGACATGCAGTTGAGTACTCAAGTCATTTCCCAGAGCTTCACCACCACCTAGAAGGCATCTGTCAGCATTGTGCGGATGAATACTGTCCACGTCTGTATTGGTGATGCTGTAGCAAAACTAAAGAATCTCTAAGCTAAAACAGGCTATTTGACTGGCACCCTATCCAGGAGAACTGTTAACTGACACTATTTCATCACTGGTGTACTGTGGTTGTGGTATGTATATGTACAAGAAGCACTGCAAAAGTTGTCAAGGCCTCTTCAACTGTCTTTCCAACCCTGTGATTGCCCAGCACCTAGAAGGACAGTACAGTGTGTACATAGACTGCACTGTCACTTTTTTTTCTTTTGGATATTTAATGCCATTCCTTCATTACAACTGGATAAAATCCTAAATGCCTTACTTAACAACACAAAGGAAACTTAAATGCTGCAGCTTGTCCCTAGTTGATGGTTAAAAGAGGTGAATAACAAATGATCGCCTTGTCAGAAATATTCATAATCTGCAAACTTGAAATAAAGAAAACTTATTGGCAGGTAGGAGTGACTTACTTTGGCTTTGTGGGTCTATTAAATGTGTCATTTTCTCTCTGTTTATAGGCTCACCCAAATTTTCGGTGTTCATGATGGAGCCAGAGAACCCTTCATATGGAAAGGACTTATCTGTGTCCTGTTCAGTTTCTGGAATTTCCCATCCAAATGTTACAGTTGAATGGTATAAAGAGTGTCAGTTAATTAACAATGGAGTCACAAAAACAAAGCCTATACTTACCTCGGAAAACACTTACAAGGTAGATGCGCGTCTGAAATTTTTCGTGACTGCAGAAGACTTTGAAAGAGAATTATTCCTTCAGTATAAAGACAATGACAAAGGTGATACATTTAAACGAGATATTCACCTGCCCCTCCAAGGTGAGTGGATCTTGTGCCCTGATGTTTACATATGTTTAGAAAATCCTAATCTGATTAATAATTTCTGTAAAAATAAAAGTATAATGCTGCATCAAAGACACTGCTCTCTATCTTACCGAGTAGTGAATGAACAGGTTTTGGCATTCACCTTGCATACAGTTGCTTGTAAAAGTTTAGCTGGGTTATCACTTTTCTTCTAGCATTGTTAGAAATGGGTGATGTCTACAGGGAATTGGTGACATTTGTGAGCCAGCCAACTAATGGAGAGGCTGTTCAATTGATCAGATCGAAGGATTATCACCAGCACATGCTGACAGCAAAGCGCAAGTTTTATTTAAAAAAGGAAATATAATTCATATAAATCATACAAGAAACAAAAACAAAGGTTTAGGCAGAAATAAAGGATTAACATAAAAGATGTGAAGATAGAAAACTGCTTTCAAAAAAAATCTGCACTATTAATTTTATTTTGAGAAAAATGAAACTCCAAACTTGTAAAATTATCAGTGTCAGATAGAATACTGAGTGGTGACTACCACGTAGTATATCATTACAATTCAGTAATTCCTGATTAAAAATGGATGAAAATGTTGGCACGTTAAAAGTTTTTTTTTTTATGCATTCATTGGATATGGGTGTCGATGCCTAGGCCAGCATCTGTTACCCATCTGTAATTGCCCAGAAGCCAGTTGAGAGTTAACCACGCTGCTACGGATCTGGAGTCACATGTAGGCTGGACTAGGTAAGGTAAGGATGACAGAAGGAGGTGAGAATAGTGAGTAATTAGCTCAGCATATGGGATGGCAGTGATTTATGTGCAGATTAGCAAAGATTGCACCAGTGCAGTCTGTGGAGGGGTACCAGCATCTTCCAGATTTCCCTATTTAATTAGACATGCGTAGACATCCGAAATTGCTGATCTTTATGTGTCACAGTGAGCAACAACATCCTTACTTATTATTACAACATAAGCTATTGGTTGAAGAGAGAAGCATTTGCTTTATCAGATCAGTGCAAGTTACTTAGTACAAGTTTAAACTAGCTTTCCTATATACTTTGATTGTAAACATATGATACTACTTAACATAACTATTTAACTTGAGCAGTTACTGAAAAATCATTTAAGCCTTTAATAATATAAATATAAATTTATTTAAATGGTCTCTGGTTACAGTTGGAACCTTTGAAAACTTACTTTTTGTTTCGGCATTTCTCATAGCTGTGACTCCTGAAGTGTCAGAAATAGAGTGTCAACCTGCTCATCCCAAAAAGGGTGAAAAGGCTACTCTTTATTGCAAGATTGACCATTTTTGTCCCGTGGATATACTGGTTGTTTGGAGCAAGGGATGGACAGAATGCAAGGATGAGAAAAACACAGAAACACCCAAAATCGATGAGAAGGGGCTTTACTCTACAGTGACAAGTTTGCCCATTGACGTAGTTGAAGGCAGAACAGAGTACACTTGTGAAGTTCGGCACCTTAAAACTAATGATATTGTAGAGAAGACATACGTTCTGCACGTTTAGGTATGTTCTGCATTTTCAGTGCTCCTTAATAATTTGATTTAAATACTGGCAAATTTTGAACAATTGAACATGATAAATCCAACTAATGGATGTTGAGAGCAGTGCTCTCTGTCAAGTTATCTTAGCTCACTGAGATATTCTTTGGTTTAAAAGCACTATATAAACTTGAGATTCTACCATTGTGGTCTTCAACCAACATAAAAATCTTAAGTACAAAAGTACACTATAATTAACAGATGCAACAGTTTTTTTTCTCCAATTTGTACATCATGGCAACAAATGCAGTTAAAAAACAAATTGCAGTTTGAGGACAGAATTATGGTACAACCCATGCTCTGTGGAAACTATTTGAGGTTTATAGGCAAACCTTCTCTGGGTTGCACTCTTATGTCTAGAACTTAAATAATGTAGCACCAAGTTTTTAAAGGAAGTGCACAATCTCAGGATAACAAACCCTCAGAAGTGCTATCGTGATTAGCGTTTTGTTGTAAACTGCACTTAACTGTAATAATAAACACTCTGCTGTGTGTTTTCAGATCGAGTCCCTAAACTCTTAAGATCTTAAGAGGTTGTGATTTGATATTAACAGTTCAGTTAAATCACATTTATTTCTGTCATAGAAATCCTGACTTCTTTTGTGGTATGATTTTAGTTGCTAACAAAAGTACGCTAAAGTCTTGTTTCAAAGGCTGCTGGAAAGAACAGTTTTAGTCACTGCTTTGGAATACCTGGAATACTCCAGGGCATAAAACAATTACTACATATTGTTGGTGCTGTATATACTGCAGCGCCTTCAACCACTGACTTGTGTAGTGCAGTTTTTGATTATTAGAAGCTAATGCCTGTTTTCTTTTTCCATCCAGTCTTTTTTATAGCCAATATCTGAGGTGGTGGCAGTCTCACATCTGAGTCAGCAGGTGTTGTTTAGAGTCCCACACCCGTGCTCAAGTACAATAGCCAAGGCTAACATTATTAGGGATTGCTGTATTTTTCAGAGATGTCATCTTTTGGATGTGACTTTAAATCAAGGATGTGTCTGCCCCTTCAGTGGGATCTAATAAATCACATGGCACTATTTCAATGAAAGCAGGGGCATTATGCCCAAGTGACCTGGTCAATGTTTATTTCTCAATCAATATCACAAAAAATAGATTACCTGGTCATTATCATGTTACTATTTGTGGGAAATCAGCTATCATGTTTTCTATTTTACAACCTTAGCTGAACTTGAAATGTACTTTTTAAGAGTACTTTTATTCAACATATATTTATACGTTGGCCCATTATCACAAAATCAGAGGCTTTGTTTTACTTGTAAGTTAGTAAGTTGTATAAGTAGATACTTTGGTTGCGTTCATGTATGAAATTGGCAGACTGAGCTCCTCCCCAAGTATTTCCATCTTTCTGTCACAAAAGTGGTATTTTACTGGTACTCTGCACTTGTGATTTATATGCCACTTCTGACGATTAAATGAATAACTAAATGAGGAACGTTGAATAAGGAGAAGATTTACATGAAAACTTACAAAGTCTGTCTGCTTGGAAGAATGTGTTGGCATCTGGGGTTCAACCTGGGTATAAAAAATAAAGAAAAGTTCTGATGCACTTATGGTGGGTTACTTTTCTTTAGACCATTCTGAACAAGTGAAACCTGCACCTGACAAAGAATCCTGTTCCCAAAAATATGGATTTAAATTTTGGAGCAAAAGCAGACCAATCGACCAGATTAGCTGTCTGTAATTCAATAACATTATGACAGATCTATGTCCTAACTCCATCTATCCAGCTGCCATTGCTGCAAATATTGTAACTGAAGCAGTGTGCCGTCAGGAAGCAGTAGAGTTTAGTAAACATAATAGAAATATGAATAGAATAGTGATTTGTTTTCTGAAATGTTTATTTTAAGCAGTTGGATATTATAGTGTATATGCAGCTCTGGTTTCATTAGGGTTTTCAAAAAATTAAGGGAAGGCAAATTACTGCACATAAAACAAAGACAGAATGTTGGAGAAACTCAGCAGGTCTGGCAGCATCTTTGGAGGAGGAAGTAAAGTTTAACCTTTCATGTCTGCTATGATTCTTTCAGAACTAAAATATGTTGGAAATTGTTTGTGTTCTTTTATGTACTTTTGACAGAAGCAAAGGCCCGGAGTGAAAGCGAGTTATTAATAGTGCATAAAGAGATGTAAAATGGGTGTAAAATAAGGTGTGAAAGAGTACATCTTAATTCAAAGCAGTCTTAAATCATTTTCTTTCTCTCCACCATTAACAACCCCTTTGTCCTTTGCTGCTTTGTCAAAGGGATTTTTTTTTTTTTAAAACGTCCCAATAGCAATCCATTGTTAAGGGAAAATTGAATTAGAAAATAATATTTGGAATAGGTGATTCTATCTAAGTATTATCCAAATTCTGGGATTAATTTTGTGGACAATCTCATGCTTCCATTATTTTTATTTTACTTTCAGCATGATTATTGCAGCATGAATTTTTTTTTTGTTACTATTCAAGTTGAAAAGTTAGCCCAATTTTTTTTTTATGTACGTACAAAATGCTAACCTATATCAATTTTATTTTTCCAGATTTTCTACCCTACACAAACATCTAACTGAAAGATATTCTGTTTCATGGAATAGACTGCACTTTAAATAAAGTTGTGCATATTAAGAATGGAATCTTTATTGAAGTAAACGAATACTAATTACCATCTGTTAAACCGCACCTCAACAGGAATTCTATAAGTATCATGCTCAGGTGTAAACTGTGAAATTGAATTAAAAATTTGATATTTTGTCTCACACTGAAGGAAACATCCCATAGAAGCCTCTTTTAAAGATGCCTACCTTTAAGAAGTTACCCTCCTCCTCCATAAAGACCTCAGTGGATCTCTGTCCCACTGCAACCCTCTTGTAATCTCTTCGGCCCCGAAACTGCACGACCACATACTGAAGCAAACCAGGTACTACAGCCACATTGCCTTTCTCAGTACCTGCATATGGAACCGGGTCATCCCCAATGGACTACAGTCTACATTCAGGCCTTCCCAATTTGGCCCCAACCGTGACGACCGCTACATACAGAACATTAAGATCCTCCAAAAATGTTTTTCTCTGCGACCCCTCAAACACACACTCGCAGCAATGCGCTGGCATCTTCTGGCCCTACAATCAAGTCTACCCCAGCTCAGAGCCTCCCTCTCCCAGACCAGCAAAGGACCTCTCCTGTTTTTCATTCTGCGCAGGATCCACAACCTGAACTCACGATTCTACTCTGCCTTATTGGACACCTAAAAACCGTAAGTATACTAAACTTACTGGTGCCTGCCACCCAACACAGGCCTCCTCCACCCCTCAAACGCCCAACCCCACCCAGGACCTATGCCACAATGTACCCGCCGCCATTGGCCATGTGGCCACTGTCGAGGCACCCACGGACTCCACGGATGACATCACATCCGCTGCTGCCGGGTACACCACTTCCGGTACGGCGAACGCCATCGACACCGCTGCTGATACCGCCACCACCAACATTGAAGACGCACCTGCCGACGCCGCTACTGCCGCCAACATCGAGGACTCACCTGCCGACGCCGCTTCGCCCACCGCCCCCAACAGCCAGCAGCTCCAGAGTATACGCTCGCACCCAGCCCTGTCGGGTCTTCACCATCCCCCCAGACCTCCCCCTCACTGAGGACGAACGGTCAGTCCTCAGTAAAGGACTCACCTTTATCCCCCTCCACCCTAACATCAACGAATACCCTTCATGCCCGGATGTCGGACTGTTTTTCTGCTGCCTCCAACTCCGCGCTTGCTTCTTCTTTAATCATGAGCCTAACCCTCCCTCTACTGACCCCTTCTCCCGCCTCCAACACACCCTTCCTCCTGGACACCACCCTAAGGACTCCTACCCTCCCTCGACCTCTTCATCTCAAACTGCATTCGAGACATCAATCATCTCAACCTCTCCACCACTCTCACCCACTCCAACCTCTCCCCCGCAGAACGTGCAGCCCTCCACTCCAATCCCAACCTCACCATAAAACCCGCAGACAAGGGAGGCGCAGTTGTAGTATGGCGCACTGACCTCTACATCGCCAAGGCCAGGAGCCAACTCTCCGACACCACCTCCTACCGCCCCCTTGATCATGACCCCACCCCTGAGCACCAAACCATCATCTCCCAAACCATTCACAACCTCATCACCTCAGGTGACCTCCCACCCACAGCCTCCAACCTCATCGTTCCCCAACTCCGTACCGCCCGTTTCTATCTCCTTCCCAAAATCCACAAACCTGACTGCCCTGGTCGACCCATTGTCTCTCCCACCACACTTATCTCCACTTATCTCGACTCCATTTTCTCCCCTCTTGCCCAGGAACTCACCACCTACGTCTGTGATACCACCCACACCCTCCTCCTCCTCCAAAACTTCTGATTCCCTGGTCCTCAACACTTCATCTTCACCATGGACATCCAGTCCCTATACACCTGCATTCCCCATGCAGATGGCCTAAAAGACCTCCGCTTCTTCCTCTCCCACAGGCTGGACCAGTCCACCTCAACCGACACGCTTATCCGCTTAGCCGAACTCGTCCTTACCCTTAACAACTTCTCCTTCAACTCCTCCTACTTCCTACAGACAAAGTGGGTGGCCATGGGTACCCGCATGGGCCCAAGCTATGCCTGCCTCTTTGTAGGATACGTGGAACAATCCCTCTTCCGAAGCTACACTGGCACTAAACCCCACCTCTTCCTCCGTTATATCGATGACTGTATCAGCGCCGCCTCGTGCTCCCACGAGGAGCTTGAACAGTTCATCCACTTCACCAACACCTTCCACCTCAACCTTAAGTTTACCTGGACCACCTCCAATGCACCTCTCTCCTTCCTGGACTTCTCTGTTTCCATCTCTGGCAACCACCTGGAAACTGATATCTATTTCAAACCTACCAACTCCCACAGCTACCTAGAATACACCTCCTCTCACCCACCTTCCTGCAAGAATGCCATCCCCTATTCCCAATTCCTTCGCCTCCGCCGCATCTGCTCCCGAGATGAGGCATTCCACTCCCGGTCATCCCAGATGTCCTCGCTTTTCAAGGACCGCAACATTCCCCTCCACAGTGGTCGAAAACGCCCTCGAACGTACCTCTCGCATTTCCCGCAACTCATCCCTCATACCCCCTCCCCGCAATAACAACAAAAACAGAATCCCCCTTGTCCCTTCATATCACCCCACCATTCTCCGGATTCAACACATCATCCTCCGCTAGTTCCGCCACCTGCAATCTGCCCCCACTACCAAAGACATTTTTCCCTCCCCACCCTTATCTGCCTTCCAGAAGGACCGCTCTCTCCATGACTCCCTCGTCTGCTCCATACTCCCCCCAGCCCCGGCACTTGTCCCTGCACCACAGGAAGTGCTACACCTGCCCCTCACCTGCACATCTGCTAATGTGGTATACTGTATCCGCTGTTCCCGATGTGGCCTCCTCTATATTCGGGGAAACCAAGCAGAGGCTTGGAGACCGCTTTGTGGAACATCTACGCTGGGTTCATGACAAACAACTGCATCTCCCAGTCATGAACCACTTCAACTTCCCCTCCCACTCCTTGGACGACATGTCTATCCTGGGCCGCCTCCAGTGCCACAATGATGCCACCCGAAGGCTGCAGGAACAGCACCTCATATTTCACTTGGGAATCTTGCAGCCCAATGGTCTCAATGTGGATGTCACAAGCTTCAAAATCTCCCCTCCCGTGACCTCATCCCAAGACCAGCCCAGCTCGTCCCCACCTCCTTGACCTATCCGTCTTTTCTCCCACCTATGCCCTCCTCCCAACTCACTAACCAATCCCCACCCCCACTTCCTACCTAGTAGCCTCATCCCCGCCTCCTTGACCTGTCCGTCTTCCCTCCCAACTGACCAACCCCCCATCCCAACTCCCTACCTACACTCACCTTTACTGGCTCCCGCCTCCTTGACCTGTCCAACTTCTCTCCACCTATCTGCTCCTTTATCCACCTTCCATCATCGCCTCCCCCCTGTCTATTTATTTCAGAGTCACCTTCCCCTCCCCCATTTCTGAAGAAGGGTGCAGACCCAAAATGTCAGCTTTCCTTCTCCTCTGATGCTGCCTGGCCTGCTGTGTTCATCCAGCTCTACACCTGTTACCCCATAGAAGCTGTTGGATTGTCAGAAACAATCTTTCATTCGTTTGATTCTAATCTGATGTTTGTTTGCTCATTTTGGGACAAAACGGAGGATTTCAGACTTGTTAAAAAGTCTTTGGTCTCTGATCATCAACTTTCCCTTGGTGCTCCTGGTGCCTTCTGAAGCGGCCTGACAGGCCAGTGAAATAGAGATTGATGTTAAATGTGACCTCATTTCTGTCACCCCATAATTCTTGAAGTATAGCATGGTTATTTCTATTTTATACAGATAAACGGAGAAATATCCATGAATGTATGTAATCCTGGATCATGTTCTGTTATGGAACAGTGATTAAATTGATGAGCTTGACTGGTTTAACAGTTAAAATGATGTTGCCACACCAGAACGCATGTTGCTTCAGGATATTGAAGCATAGGGGGAGGCAATGGACTAGTGGTATTATCACTAGATTATTAATCCTCACTATTGTCCTTTAGGGAAGGGAATCCACCATCATTGTCTATCTGGCCGACATGTGACTCCAGACCCACAGCAACGTGGCTGACTCTAAATTGCCCTCTGGGCAATAAATACTGACCTAACCATTGCAAGGCCAATGGAATAGTCAGTGATGCCAATTCTAAATTAATACTTTAAAAATACCTTTATTATTGCTATTTCAGAATGATATTTTATCTTTGTCTACCTGCCATTTTTGTGAAATTTTATACAATTGCATTATTCCAAAGTTTTTCATATTTTGAAATGTTCCCCAGAATGATTGTATATTTGTTAGTTTTCAAGTTACATCTTTATAAAATGTAATTAGGTGTAAATTAGTTGTTATGTTTTGATTAACAATGTATTCAATATTGTGTATTAATATAAATTAACATGTAAAAATTGATGTTTTATGTTGTTTTGAAATATTTTACCATCTTACCTCATGTAAGAACGAAAGATAAGTTCTCATGTGGGCAAAAGATCTGTACATGATTTAGCATGGTAACTTTTACAGTTTGCTTTTTATAGCTTTTTATAAGAAGTTGAAGAATTGAAAAGACATTGTAAGCATACTTTTTGGGGTTTTTGATCTTAACTTGGTTATAGTTAGGAGGCTCTATAGTAAATGTATACTGCTATTCTTACGAGGCCAACATGTCAGTTTGTATTAACTTGTATTTCTGAAAGGAGCCATTTTATGCCGTCACTCTGAATCTGACCAGTAATTGGTTAAGTGTTAGATAGGTTTCTCTCTGAGAGCTCCAGTGCATTTTCTTGCACCATTTTCCACAACAGGCCTTACGAGCAATACACTGCACCTCTGCGACACCATACTCGCACTGTCTTCCTTCTTGACAGAGGCAGAAGTATCTCTGTCGGGAATTTCTAAGATTTCTGGTGCCATCACTTTTTTAAAGCCCAGCTGTGCACTCAATCAAATGCTGCCCTTTTGCATGGTACACATTGTGAGAGAACGAAAAACAAACATGGTTCAGGGCACATAGGCGGCATAAGTGACACATCTTGCATGTACAGGAGCACATTCATGAATGTGTTGTTGCATTGAGGCTGGTAAATGTCTGATGCTAACTTCTATAGATGGTTGGTGGTGTGGGAGGGTGCACGGGTGCATGTGTGTGTGCGTATGGAGTTGTAGCCAGTCATTGCCTGGGAGTGTACTATAGGATTTTGGAGACTGCTGTCCAAGGTGTCGGCCTGGAGCAGCAAACAGTGAGCTGGAGGCACCACACTCGTACTGTGACTTTCACGTCTAGAATCCTTACTGTT